TCTTGTCTCCCTTCACTGTGTCCGCATGTCTTCCTTCTGTCCCCCTTCTTGTTGGTCATTGTGTCCGCCTTGTCTCCGCCTTGTCTCCCTTCTGTCTCCCTTTGTCTCCGGTCTTGTCTCCCTTCTTGTTGGGCACTGTGTCCGTCTTGTCTCCCTTCTGTTTCCTTTTGTCTCCCTTCTTGTCTCCCTTGTTGTCCCCCTTCTTGTTGGTCATTGTGTCCGCCTTGTCTTCCTTCTTTCCTTTGCATGTGCCTCCTCTCTCCTCCTCTCGCTTGCAACCCTTCACATTTGTCTCCCAGCTGCTCTGCCCTGCAATCCTTTACATTTGTCTCCCAGCTCTGCACTGCGTGTCGCTTGCAATCCTTTACATTTGTCTCCCAGCTCTGGACTGCTGTGTCCGCCTCTGCCTTGCAATCCTTTACATTTGTCTCCCAGCTCTGGGCTGCTGTGTCCGCCTCTGCCTTGCAATCCTGTACATTTGTCTCCCAGCGCTGGGCTGCTGTGTCCGCCTCTGCCTTGCAATCCTTTACATGTGTCCTCGCAAGCCTTTGCATTTGTCTCCCAGCTCTAGACTGCTGTATCCGCCTCTGCCTTGCAATCCTTTATTTGTCACCCAGCTCTGGGCTGCATGTCGCTTGCAATCCTTTACATTTGTCTCCCTGCTGTGGCCGCCTCTGCCTTGCAATCCTTTGTCCCCCAGCTCTGGACGCTGCAAGCTCTAGTTACAGAGTGTTCCGATTTTGACAAACACAAACTGTTTGGGGTCTACGGTGGTGTAATTTTTTGATGTTTTCTTTCAGGAGGTGTGTGCAGGGCTACTCGCTTTGTCACGGGCTACTCTGAGGCCGGTTTCTCCGTCTTGGAGCCTGCTCATGCGGGCGGCGGACCATTCTGGGACGTGCAGCCGACCTGGTTGTGAATTTTCGGAGCGCTGACTGTCGAAGGGTAGGAAAAAACCTTCAACCATTTGGTGAATATTGATGTTCATTTCAAGCTCGATATGAACAGCTTGGGAGTTTGGTCGGCATCCATCACGATCGGTGTCCTTTTGGTCTCTGAAGGGTGTCGGCATCCTCGATGTCGTCCACCGGTCGACATTCGTGGACTATGACGGAGATGGTTCCATCACAATAGTGTAGACCCCTTGATGATCAAGGCCCCCAAGACATGGATGCGCGCACTTGCGAGTCTGAACGCACCCACAAAAACTGCCCTTTGTTCACAGGTGGAAATTCTGTGTGGCTCGGCGAGGAAACATTCACCAGTGCAACCTCTCGTGGTTCGGTGGAAACGTCGCTCACGGTGATTGTCAGGGCTTCTTGAAGACAATTGGCCTTGTTGCCTAAGGGTCCAGAAGTGGATATAGAACTATATAATACCATGGGTGTGGGGGTAGCTGGCAGGCTTTCTTCATTGCAGGCACCCATCCGCGTGTTTGTTCTCGTTCGCTGTTTAGCTTTGCCAGGAGATTTTCCCATACTCACTTAGCATCTCCTTCGCTATCATTTGGGGCCTGCGCCTCGGGAGTGTGTTCAACAGAACCGAAGTGAGGCGTGTCAAGGGCCCTTGAGGTGCCAAGTAAATGAATATCCACAAGTCTATTGCATGCTCTCCTCCGAAACTGCTTCAGACAAAAAGCACTCATCAAAACTAGATTTTAGAGGTGTGATGCGGCCAGACCCTGCACCTACCTGAAACCTTCCGAAAACTGTTTTGTCGACTTTCCGAAGGAAAACCACTTTGGTTAGCAGGATTCCTGGATGAGAATATGAAAGCAACCGCCACCCTTACAAGACAACCTTCTTGTCCTTCTTCCCCGTGTTCTGTCTCTTCAATGACAATCTATTTTTCATGACGCTTTCTTCACCCGGTTCTTCCTGGCAAGGCATCATCTTGGGATTCGTGCTCCTTCGTCTTCAAGAGGAAGGGATTGCGGAGACGATGTTTTTCCGCAGAGAGCACACACTGGGAAGGTTTCCACAGGATCTTCTCTTCATTCTGTTGATTTTCTTCTCCACAGTCAGTTGTTTTTCCATTGCTGTACCTTGAGATGTTGAAGGTGATGCCCCTGAGATGCACTTGTTTTGGAGCAATGGATGACCGGGTAAATCCAACTCACACAGCAATGTTCAATGTGTCTGCCCTTCTCAATGACGACTTGGTCTGGTCCTTTCCATGAAAGGCTTTTCCGGAATGAGATGATGGCGTGAGCCTCACCATAAATCCTTGACCCTTGCTGGAGCCTCAAGAACGCCCGGGTGGTCTCCAAGGAGCTCGGGCCGCATGGCCCGGTTGGGGGTTGAAGCGATGTGCCTTCCTTGTTAGTAGCTTCTTGCTCCTAGTAGCGATGCCCTTGTTACTAGTAAGTAAGTAGGCAGTAGGCCTATGTGAGGCCAGGCCAGGCCTATCTTCATTGGAGGAAGGACGCGTTTTGGTGCTTTGGATGCGCGACTGCTAGGACATGAAAAATCCGAGCTAGGTTTCAATGGTGGTTGCACCAACTCACGCTTTTCTTCGTCCAATCATGCCAAATCCAAGGCATTGGCCAGGAATGATGCCAGAGCGGCACACGGAGAAAAGATGAAGCTGGGCTGTGCTGGAGCTGCTGGTGCAGATGGTCAAAACCCACCGGAGCCTTCAGATGAGAAGAGCCAGCAGGGATTCTTGATCTATACCATTTTGGGTGTTAAGCTTTGACCAAGCATGTCATCTCATGAATCGATCTCAACATGGTCTTTTCCGGAGAGGTTGGTCAAACGCCATTCTGAGGCGATGCTTCGCATCAAATAGGGTATAGGTCATCTACTTTTCCGAAAATTGGAAGCAGCTTATTTGCAAACGCCAACTGAACGGTCTGCCTTTGATCTTCCGGCCTCCAACCTACTTTCGATGGCTTCCAACCTGCTTGCGATGGCCTCCGGCCTAGACACCGAGGCCTCCTCATCACACTCCTAGGTCCGGGGGTTCCTGTAAATAGAGCCAGCTGAGTCAAAGCCATGGTATTCCGGCCATTGGTACCACCAACCCAACAGCACAGCGGCTTGAAGGTGATGTGATGGCTGCTGTGTGCATTGGCCTCAGAGAAAGTTGAAGCACAAGTTGATGGAGGGGTAGCAGACCACGATCCCAAGCTGGAATGGAATTCTTTAATAGAGCTTTATTCCTTGATAAGGCAGGGTGGGCTATTGCACCGCCAAGAGATAGAATCTCCTGTTATGATGTTGGTTTGTGACCGGTGAAGTTGCTTCATGTGGGTATGCGGTATGCCTTCAAGATTGAAAGCTGGTGGACACAGATTTTGTTTTGTTGTGTGTTTTTGTTTGTTTAACTACCAGTTGGCTTCTGGCCTTACTCTGCAATTTTTAAGTTGAACAGGCAGCAGAAGTCATGCAGGAATCCAATCGTTGCTGATAGAAGTCAGGCAGAAATGGACCAGCTTCCAAGTGGACCAGCTTCCCGTCTTTCACAACCATCAGAGTCTAACCTCTCTAAGAAGAAGCTAATGGATTCTTGGGCCCCGAATGACCTTGACCATGATGTGTTTCTTTCCAGCTTGGTTCGGGTTCACGGAAAAACAAGACCTGTCCGGGTCTTTTTGAGATGTTTGCGCAGTGGAGAGTGCCGGCTGGCAGCCAGTAGCTCGGTTCAGGATGTTGTCATGACGGCACAGTTAAGCTTATCGATTCGTGGTTAAATAGCACCCAACCAACCAAAGGCTTGGTGTAGACTAGCTTCACCCAGGTTCTCGAGCTCAATAGATCAAGCATCATATACCTGACCTAATAAGGGTGTGTGGATTTCTGCATCAAGCGTAGATGAACGATATTTTGACACATTTGGGCGACTCAGACTCATCAGATATGTATTTTCCCAAGATTTCTTTTTCAACACGAAGACACCCTGGAAAGCCGGGGTGAAGCTCGAGGAGAGATTTACTTCACCTAGTCATGCAGGCAAGTCAAAGTCCAGACAAAAAGATACTGAACTGCAGACATCAAATGTGGCACAGATGGCGTGCCCGTTGTGCGGGGCTTGGAGAAATGGCCTGTAGTTGGCTGTCTTCCAGCGGACTGACTTGCACTGTTGGTCTGATAGTCTTGCAAGCTTTTCAAAGACACCAAGAATCCCAAACTCTTTTTTGGGAAGAGTTCATGTTCACCATCCATCACTTGACATCTTGAACAGAGTCTTTTTCCAATAAAGATCTGGAACTCGCAGAACTCAAGCCGTTTCTTTTTTCCTCTTGAAAAGATCTCTAGAGTGGGCGGAGACTTGTTGGCAACGCCCGCCCAGCCCCCCGGTTTTGAGCGGAGAAGCCAGCTGAGCCGCCCTTGAGGCCCCGAGAAGCTGCCTTGGACTTGCTGCATGAGGAGAGGAAGTTTGGACGTTTAGCTTGGGGCCTGGAGCTTTGGTAAACCACTCTGCCGATTCTTTTCGGATGTTTCACTTGATGGTTTTGTTCCGGTGAATAATGCGAAACAGCAAACTTCTAGCGGTTCGGTGCTGCCTGCGGCGGTTCTGGTGCATGTTTTCTTTGCAACAGCCCGTAGGTTTTCATCTGGGGTGCTGTGGAAAGTCTGAACAGAAATCTTGATGTGCGAGCCGCCCGGTGTGCTTTGTTTAGACTGTAAGGAAGAACACTGGTCCGTTTCCGTGCACAAGTCCTGGTCCTGGAAAGCACCGGTTTCGCGTATCGCATGAAGAAATCGAGCACTGGTTCGCATGGTTTCTGTGGTTTCACGATCTGTTTCACGATTTTGGGATTTCCAGGTTCGCATCAGGTCAGTTAGAACTAGTAGCGAACCTAGGTCAGTTCAGGTCGAACGGTTGGAACCATGGGAGCTTCCTCCAGAACCGTGGTCCGTTTCCGTCCGCTTCCGGCGACCGGCGCCCCTCGGTAGGACTCTGGATCGCCGCCGGCCACAAGTCCATCCCTTGGGAGCAGGCGCTGAACATGCAGTTGGGTAGTGGTTAGAGGACCAAGACTAAAATGGCATGGCTCAACTGGGCTACTTGGATGAATCACCTGGAAAAGAAAATTATGGCATGCCATGGCTGCCATGGCCATTGATGTTTCACCACTTCGGCGACCATCGACTGTGAAGCCACCGAAGAGAAAGGATGGTGCAGAGCACCCGTTCCAAACAGCTTTTTCTTTGCCCTTTTGCAAGCAGAACATGTTGGTGGAGTTGTGATTTGTCGTCCAGGTCAGTGATGTTGACGCTGAAAATCCTTGATACAGATCTGCGGCTGTATGTTAAGGCCTCTACTTTTCTGGGTGTGCCACCTCGAGGCCCTCAACCAGCCTCTGCAGCCTCTGAAGACCTAGCTGGCGAAGCTATCCCATTTCTTTTTCTTTCTGTTTGTGTTTTTTTAGAAGTGGTCCCAAACTGTTCAAAGGGCTTGGCCTCCCAGCTAAATGCAGAGTTTCTGGGGCTCAGCCCCACTGAGCCACCAAGCCTTTCCAGGCCAAAAGAGCCTTCCCAGGCCCAGGTGTGCCAGCTCCGGAGTTTCGGGTGGATGTGGTGTGCCCCAACCGGTGATGTGTCGCCGCTGGTGTGATGAGTATCAGAGAAAGCGAGAGCAACTTGTGATTTGATTTGCAACCAGATCCATGTGTGAAACCTCTCCTTCCCCTTTCTTCTTTTGGTGCCTTCTGCTTGCCCTTCGCAATCCACACGACTGGGAACGCGGAAGATCCCATGGAACGCGGCACATCACCCAAAGGTCTCAACTCCTGTTTGTGACCTGAGGGCGGGCCGACAGTGTTTGGGTTGGCTGTCTGTGCAGGATTTCGTCCATCACTAGTCACTAGTATATTTAAATATAAACCCCGGCACATCTTAGATAGACTAGCCAAGATTCCATGTATTTTCCATAGCATCGCTACTAAGTAACAAGGGCATGACTACTAGTAACTTACTAGTACAAGCATGGTTCCTCCCGCTGGAACCCCACGATGGAACCGCCACCCACCGTACGCCCGAGCCCACAACCTGCACGCCACCGTACGCGACCAGGTGAAGTTGTTGGAGGAGGACCCACTGCAGAGCCTCATGGCCTGGATGACTGTGGCAGACTTGAGTCAGGAGCACCTGACCTCTTGATGAGCCGGTCGGTCGGCGTGTCGGTGGAGGCGGGGAAAAAGGGGGTCCTCATTGTGTTTGTACCGTTCAACAGGTACGGCTGAAGCAGCTTTATCCCTGAGGGATGATCATGGCCCATCATGGCAAGTTCCCCAAAAGACCTCAGTTTCTGGGCCCCAGATACGGTATTGCTTGGGCTTGGGACTTGGCCGCAGGAAGAGCTGCAAGAAGATGAAGGCCAGCTGGCATCACACTTCCTTGACGGGTCTGTCTTTTCTACTATTTTTCTAGAGCTTTCTGCATCTCATAAGAAAGTGTACTGCCTCCCACACGTGTGCCTGTCCTTTTGGTGCACACTTCCAAGGGTGTTGTGCCTTTCTTGTTGCCGTTTCTTTGTTCCTCTCCAGCAGCTAACAAGATGGTATTGACCCCAAAGAGATTGGGTCGGCTTTGTTACCTTCTGTAGATAGAACTTATCAAGAGTGCCTGGCCTCAGAGTCTCCGATCGTGAAGTTCTACACACCCTGAACTAATGAATTTCAAAGTGGAAGAGAAAGTACCACCTGTTTGATATTCGGATTTTCATGGTCATCCAAGGGACCATGCTATCTACTTCCATGATCATGTCAGGGAGTCTCATGGTCTCTTGGAGTCTCATTCTCTCATTCCGGGCCTTGCTGCGCTTTGCTCCGTCGCTCGGTCGCTCGGGGCAAACGAAACGACCGGTCACCACCCAGAACGAAGGTCTGAAAGACCACCGAATTCTGCTACACCTCAGCTTGGTCCGGACGAAATCCACCAAATCACCGAAGATCCGCAAAAGCACCTCTTTAACCCATGTTCCTATTCTAGCTTGGCAGCGTGTTTCCCGTGGTAGCAGTAGTATATAGTGTTTTGATACACTTTCGTATTGGTGCCAGTGTCAGACTCTTCCACAGTAGGGACCCGTTTCACCCACCCCACAGTAGGACCTTTCAATTTACCTGACCTCTCGATCATGGTTGCACGGAAGACTGCCAGGTCAGGTGGAGGAGGATCTGCCTCCTTTGCCAACCAGAGAGCGCGGGGGACCTTGGCATGCTGCAATCGTGAGGGTCTAAAGAAGTACACCCTGGAAGATTAACATGGAACCTGAAAATCACTGGTTTGTACAGGAACATTGTCTTCCAGTCTGGTCCGTTTTCAGGTTCCATGTGGGTCTCTTCCCGGCTGTAGCTTTAATGATTGCTTTCTTTTCAGATCCTCAGAACGAGATTGGCTGTCCAGCTGAGATAAAGTCTGCCTGCACCATCTCCACCCATTTCCAGGTGAAACTCATCCTTTTTGCGTCCGCAAAACTAGAAAGAATCCATCTTTTTCCGATGCCCAAAAGCCTAAGTGAACCAACCCAGATCGCCTGGTACAGTGGAGTCTCCTTCAGGAAAGAAGAGCAGCTACTGCAACTTCGATTCTCCAAAGGCGCGGGATGGTCAACCTCTGAAGGCCGAGTGAGATGGTCTCCTGGTCGTGTGAACAGGGGTAATTTCATGTAACTTCTCCAGCTTTCGAACTTTTCGGCTACCCCATGAGAAACTTGGCGAAGCTAGCTCACTGGCTATGAAAGAAACAGCACCGCGGTTTGAACGAGTACCTTAGTCTGTTGTTGTTGTTGTTGTTGTTGTCGTTGTCGTTGTCGTCGTCGTTGAAACCATACATTTACACTTAAGGTAGCAGCTTTGCTGAGTCTGATCTAGTCGACGGCCGCTTTTCGCAGAGCTTGACCGGGTCGGTGCCCTCGATCCTGGACCGACGCGGTGAGGTCGACCCGGACGAGGAGTGGAACCTTCGGCTCGCTCGCACGGGCGCTGCGGGGCGCCTGGTGCGGCAGCCTGGGCTCGGATTTGAAGGAAGGATCTGCATGACATGGATAGTCTACGGATAGTCCGGTCCGGATGACACCCATCCTGTAATACATGGAATATGTAACAGCCAATATATTTGGAGCCCCATTCATGTCCAATTTTACTAGAGGTGTTGACCCGAATCTCAAGAGACACCCCGAGAGGACCAGGCGGGCTCGTCCGCAGCATCCCCCGACATGCTGGGCAAGCCAAGGTGGCCTACGAGCACGGTGAAAGGCCCTCACATGAGCTCCATTTGAGAGGTGGGGACCGGTTTCTTTTTCCTCAAGCCAATCAAACAGCTATTTGATCACTTTGAGGACTCCCTTACTCGCCCGGCCCTCCTTTAAAGAGCATCATCAGCGACCGCAGGCGAACCAGGTCAGCGGATCGTGGTCAGCTTCGTGCGCAAGAAGAGCCGAGCTGAGAAGGCGAGCCGTTCTGCCGCAGTGCAAGGGAGCGGAGGCAGCAGAGGCAGGCACTAGTCGCTAGTATAGGTTCTGTTTCTTTTTCTCTAAATGTCTCTTTACTGAGATGAGCCGTGTCCAGTTCTGTACAAAAGGGACACTTCAGGTTTATATATATATATATTATACATATGTTTCTTTGGGGGTCTTGTTGGTCTGCGGAACTCTTGGACACTCTAGGTAGAAAGGTGGCATACCTTCGTTGTGTGATGCCATTTCCATTGGTCAAATTGGCAGCACCTGACGCCGAAGAGCTCGCTCCAGCTAGGACGGTCTCAGGCCAAACCAACCCAAGAGCTTTGAGGTTAAACGGTTAAACACCAAGAGCATGACCAAATGACCAAATGACCAAATGACCAAACCACCAAACAACCAAACCAAGACTTTGGGCCCTTCACAGTGCTGGCCCAAGTTTTGTGCTGTGCTTGGGAAGGCTGGTGTCAAGACGGGTGACGTTTTGGTGTCCATCGACGGGCAAAAGGCACAGAGCGGACGTTTTGCAGCAAATGCGGGGGG